AGAGACATCTAAGATACCCAGCTCCTTTTCACACTGGCAAAAGCAACAAACTGATTTACCAGCAAAGACCTTTCAGGACTGTGGAATACACCAGAAAGACTCAATGCAACGATCAATTGTGCGGCTGGATGTACTAGAAAGGCTCAGTTAGAGTTAGTGCTAGGAGTCATTCACACTTTTTTTAATGCAACAATGTGAATCATCTCACTCATGAATTCTGGGTTTGTTATTCACACTATGGAACCGCATCAATCTGCAATGATCTGCATCTCCATGGGTTTGGTTGTTCACATTCATCCTGGATCATTTTAACACTGTGAATAACCCCTTAGTGAAGATAGTAAAGCAAGGCACCCAGATATACCAGTTGTCATTTTAAGGTCAGTATACTTGCAAATGGTGCTTCCACTACCCTGTTTGCAGGGGCTAATTAAAGCAGCCTGTGGCACAGTGGTTTGAGCACTGGATTAGGACACTGGAGACCAGGGTTCGATTCTCAGCTCTGCCATGAAATCCACTGGGTGACCTTGGGCAAGTCACATGCTCTCAGCCTCAGGGGAGGGCAATAGCAAACCTCCTCTGAAGAAATCTTGCCACGAAAACCCCATGATAGGTTCTCCTGAGGGTTGCTACAAGTTGGAAATTACTTGAAGGCACACAACAACAACAACAACAACAACAACAACAAGAATAACCACCTCTTGGTGGGGAGTCTGGACAATGCATGACCTAAATTCCAAGTATACCCCTCTTAATATGAATGGGAAGATCCAGAACCCTTCATTCCAATGCTGGGTGGCTGTTCACACATACATCGCACTCTGTCACCCAGCACATTGCTCACTCTGAGATCAGAACAAGGTGTCCAGCATTGGTCATATGGCTGGGAGCCTTGTTCTGACCTCAGAGCAAGTGACATGTGGCTGCAGTGGATGCATCGGGCAGCAGAGCAGAATGTGTGTATGAAAAGCTGCCTGGTGCTGCAACAGTAATGGGAGGAGGACAGGACATACTCTGGGCTGCTTATGGAGTTTCCTGACCAGTGCAAACAGTACATTTCCGTGGTATGACATCCAACACTCTTCAACACATCATCAAAAGGCATATTTCTGTTCTAACCTACCCGTTCACCCAACAAACCATGCTATAATTCCCTTCCTGGCTTATGCTACTTCCTGATGCTATGATTTTAAACCTGAAACTCCACTAGGCTTAAGGAAGAAGGAAGGAGGGTCAACTAGCACTGTGACTGGGAAGGTGTAGAGCGCAGACTAGGGAAAACAATTTGATTAACTGTTATCAACACAACATATGGATATTGGTTCAACACTGCAGCTGTTTTGCAGCAGCACTATTTATTGTTCTGAGCCAGACCTAGACAGCGCAAGTCCATTAGCTTAAATTCAACATCATGTGAGTGACCCATTCCTAGCATGATGGGACCTTTCTCTCCTCCCCTGCCCCTTGCACCTCTCTATGCTGCTTGCAAATGTGCTCCATGAAGTTTCCTAGTCTGCCAGAACAGGTTTTGAAAGTGAACAGGGAGAAGGGATTGACAGAGTGACCTGTCCACCAGGAAAACCTGCCAGTAGTACCCATAAAGGTGGCATAAAGCTTCAAGAGACATGAAAGGGTCATTTTACACACAATATAGTTAGTCTCTACAGCTTATTCCAGTTTGGCATACTAGAATAGAGGCATGAGTTTACTGGTTTTCTTGAGAGAACATCAGAGCCTATGTGCCTCCCACGTTCAACCTTAAGCCTTGGACTCATGCTTCATTCTTATTCTGGGGCCCACGTAAACTCACTGGGTGACCTTTGGCAAGTCACACTCTCTCAGCCTCAGAAGATGGAAATGGCAAACCTCCTCTGATGAAACTTGCCAAGAAAACCCCATGATAGGGTTGCAATAAGCCATATATGACTTGAAGGTACACAACAACAAAGTATGCACCATCCTAGAGAACCTGTTTTGGTTCTGGGACAGTCTAGGCAAGTTCTGTTTATGGACTTAAGCCACCACCTGCTGCAGGAGAAGACATGCAGACACTTCTCTTTCCTTTGAAAAACTTGCTGCAGCTATTATTCATGAATAAAGTCCATTTGCACCCATGGCTTTGTCTCATCCACAAATCTGTTTTAATGCAGTTGTTGAGATCCAGCCCCACTCCTCAACAGAAGTTTAAGGGGAGATGATTAACTGCTCCCCTCCAGCTCTGCTGATGAAGCAGTTCCATTACTAGCTCCTGGACTAAATCTTTTTACTAAACTCTCCAATGTGATAAAATATTAAATGTGTGAGTTGCCTTAGTCTTAAATGAACTTTATTCTTTTTGTTGGACAAGGTAAAGACTAATTCATTATTCTCTGTGGAAGTGATATTTATATTCCCCTACAGGGTTGTTTATCTGGGTATTTTGCAGCATTTCAAAACACGTTATTTCTCTACATCTTAAATGAATAATTCATGGGCAATTAATCCTCTGAATACTGGTCAGTAATTTTTCAAGACTAGCTCCACAATTATTGGAACATCCATAGTGCAACGTCTGCAAACTTATTTTTTTTTTCTAATTACATATACAGAAGAAACTATCCACCTCTGATCCTAAATACCTCCTGTCTTTTGAAAATACTGTCACAAAAACACACATTATTTTGGAAGATCAAATTCTACTGGTTTCTTTGGAGGCAGCAGCTTATAATGAATTTAATGAATGAATGAATTTTATTTTTAACCCGCCTCTCTGCAAGGCAATCGAGGCGGTGTACAAAGTTAAAACAAGACAGCAGTTAAAACAATTCCACCCCCCCAATCCCTAACCCACCCACCCCATTTCATGCCTTATAATAATGTAGGAATGGTTGAATGCTAAACTATTAAAATCAAAACATTATGGGTCACCACAGTATTCTTACTGTAAATCAATGGAGCTTCATTGATTTAAACACAACTAAAGATCAAAGAAGAAAATTTGCTCCAAGCCCATAATAACAATGCTATTTCAAGGTAGGAGTTGGCAAAATGAATGGGCAATCATGGTTGCCATTAGGAATGTATGTAATCATGTTAGCTGTAGGCTGAGGGTTGCTTCACATATAATGTTTATTCTACATTGCATCTCCATGTAGGAAACCACTCATGGTTGAGAGCCACGGTAGTGTGCTGGTTATAGTATCAGACTAGCACTAGAAAGAACCAGGTTTAAATTAGGAGTGGACAGGATGTCCTTTGTGGTCTCTTCCAACTCTATGATTCTATGAAAATAATAATAATAATAATAATAATAATAATAATAATAATAATAATAATAATAATAATAATAATAATAATTTTGTATCCCGCCTTTTGCTGTAGCAATCAAGGCGGCTTACAGCTAAAACAGATACAAACCCCAACAATGAACATAATACCCCCCATTAAAAATACATTAAATATAAATCTTGATTAAAATAGTTTAAAACAATAGACAATTTAAAATGTATATTTAAAACAATAGACAATTAAAATGAATAACCATGGGGCTGTCATCACCTACCTAACCTACCACACAGGCTTGTTGTAAGGATAAAATGTGATGGTTGAACAGGGTGCACTAGAAGAAGAAGAAAGACATGAAACAGCAATAAATACTAATAATTAACTATATAATTGTTATTTTGCCGTTTCATCTTGTTTAAAGGTAGTGTGATAATTATTTTACCATAAATATAAGACCTGGGT